TGTATGTACAATTATTAAGCAATGTAATGCATTACACTACACTATCGATGTCCATCCCAGAACAACACAGCAGAAATACCGCATTGGTGGTCCCAACAGGGTGCGTACAAATACCTGCCCTGGATGCTGCTAAAAACTAGTCATTTCTGAGTTGGGACCCCGGACACCGCATGGAATAATATATTTATAACATTTGTAATATGGAAGTGATCAGCTGTCCTTATCCAGGGTGGTGGACAAATTTGCACTGCGGTGGACAATATCAGTGCTGCTGGACACATTCAAACAAGTCCACCTCGCGTGTCCCCAGACCGCAGATTGCTCCAGAGCCCACGTGTCCACTGCTGGGGGGCCTAGTTGGGGCCAACTTTTTGTTATCGAGTTGACCCTAAGTAGGGGGTGGAACAAGTAGCCCGAGGTGGATCACTAGTGATATGCCCTGTCACTGGTGGTCACCGGTGGTCACCGGTGATAAGTAGCTTACTACAGAGTTTTGTCCAATATCGACCCTCAAATAGAAATCCAGATCGCCTCGCTGTCTCGCCACTCGGCGATGCCCGCGCGGCACCGTTTACCTCTTGCCCTCGGATTTCCCCGATGCCAGCCGCTTTGCCCAACGAGCTCTTGCTGGGCATTCTCGAAGAGGCTGCAGCGACGAACACACGAACAGCTTATGCCATCTGCCTTGTTGCATCGTGGGCCACACAGATCGCAGAAACCCATCTGTATGCATTAATACAAACACACTATAAGGAAGGCGCAGACTTGGTCAGACGCTGGCTGGAGGAAACTGGTCAGGGCAAGGTGCCGCAACGAGCGCGCTACGTTCGATGGCTTTGGGTGGAGGCGTCCTTCGAGGGGTCAAAGGATACGATAGTTCGTAGGCTTGAACTGGAATTCAACCCTGCACTCCTCACAAATCTTATCCGACTCTTCCCAAATCTCCAATCGATAGGCTGGACTCAGCGACATGAAAGCGGCTATAATGAACTCTGGCGTCTTCGCAATCATCAACTCCGCACATATCTTCTGTCTTCACGACTCGACTCATTGCCTGACGAAGCCGATGGAGATGTCCATGGATTGAACCCACTGCACCTCGCGCTCAGCTCCCGTTCGGAGATCTACGTGGCTCAAACCCCTCCGGACACGCCTTCCATCCTTGATAGAGTCACACACCTGCGCCTGAACAGCTACGCGTGGACGCTGCCGAATCCCCCGCTCGGCTACTATCGTAACTCAACGCATCTCTCCATCGCGAGCGACGGCGGAGGCAGCGAGATGCTGGTGCTTTTCTCTGGCCTGTTCGTGTGCCGTCTCCCGAAGCTAGAGATGTACGTGATCGAGATGTTCGAGCGGTGCACGCGCGAATCGTGGGTGTCGTGTCTGAAACGTGTGAAGGAGCGGCGCAGCAAGGGCCTCCCTGTGTTCGTCATGATGCGCCCAGATTCCTTGCGGGAGGACTGGGAAGGAGAATGGCTGGGAGGCGAGGGGAGGAGTGTCTGGACGCGAGCGCGCGTGTTCACCAGCGAGCGAGAGCAAGAAGACTGGGCCCCTCCGCCTCCGGTTTTATCCTAGCACGATGTATTGTCACGGCAACTTATAGCAGGAATTTTGAGGATTGATCAGGCCGCCTTTGACCCCGCATGCTCCATTGAAACGTACAAACCCCCATCCTTTCATTGAGATATACGATAGCTTTGGAAAATGTAACGTTTGGGTCCGACGGAACAACGCCCACCTACAACGGCCTGACGATGATCGTGATATCATCCGTCCACCGATTCTTATTTTCGAGCGTCAGCATCGCCGATACCTTCCCTTCGTGCTCGCCCCCGAGGCCCTGCCGTAACACCTCCATTGCGAGGTTCGCCTTCGAGTCCTGCGCTTTCGCGGCGGCCTTCAGCCACTCCAGCGCGTACGTCGTCACCGGCCTCTCTTTCTCTTCCTCTGGCCGCAAGTCATATAACCCGTCCGAGCTCATGATCAAAAACCGCTTGTGGTTGCCCGAGAGGGGATCGAGCTGGATGTGAAGAACATCTGCGGTGTTGGACACGTACGGAGGGGTGAGGATGCGGGCTTTCCAAGCGTCGGCAGTTGTAATGCTGAAGTTGATGTTGCCCTTGACACGATGCCATATCTCGATCCAGGCCAGCGGTAGCTTGAAGTGGTAATCACCCACAGCTGTCGTCCATAAACCCTTTCAGCAACCGCGCCTTCAAATATTCTGGGTGAACGTTGCGCTTACCTCGGGTGACGGCGATGGCACCGAGGACCCTAGTACCCCACTTGGTATCCATTACGCACTCGCGTTCACCAGGATGTTCGAGGCGGATGCGCGTGGCCTCTTCCAGATTGTTGCCGTTGTGGTCTCCGCTCAAGACTTGTAGTTGCCATTCCGAAGACTCCGTCTGAGTCCCGAGGACTGGTGAATGAGCGGTATGAGGTTACTAAGCTGATTGAGAGGTGAGAGTAGAAAAACGTACCGGCATGGCAATCTCCGAGACTGGCGATCCAAAGGTTGGAACCGGAAGGATCAAGCAAAGAGACGAGGACGGTCGTCCCGGACATGGCTCGGTCGAACCTCGCTCGGTTGTCGCCTTCGTCCATCCTAGCCTTGAGCTCATCGTCCGTCATGTTAGTAGCTTCCTCTATCCCGCCAGGGAATATGCCCAGAAAGTCTTGCAGGAGCGACTCGTCAAAGTCACGTATCGCTTTCACCAACAGATCCGAGACAGCCGGAACGTTATCGCCCGGAGGGTTGGACAGTGGCAGTTTCTCGAGAGACTCGCGGACGAGACCAGGGAGCACCTCCACAATACGTTCGGCAGTCGCTTCCCCAATGTGTCCTGCACGAAGAGGAGCTTATCAGAAATCGATGTCGAGTTTGATTTAGTAGGCACCCACCATCGAACACGCCGGCGAACTTCCATGGAGCCCCTGTATCACCGATCGCCCATTCTTGCACGACGTATCGGTCCTGGCTCGGCGCGTTTGAGCATGGTTGAAATGTCACCGCTTCCGCAGCGCCGACCGACGTGGGCTCGGAAAGGACGCAACTCGTCGGTGAGTGCAGCCCCGGACAAGACGGTATACTGCCAGGGACCTTGTCCGTTCAACCCGAGGTTCGTTTCTGCCTTCGTGGCCATGTTGTCAAATTGCGAGAATCTACAGAGTGAACGTGAAGCCCTCTTGTACGCGCCCACCAGGTTGACAGGGTACAGGGTTGATATCCGCAGAACTCGGGCATGGGCGTAGGGCTCCAAGTCCTTCATCGCGACGGCGAAATGGGATTCCAGGGCTTGGCAGCCATACCGGTTGGGCAGAGGGGGAAAATAGGGGTAAAGGGGATGCCAGTGGGCTTGCCATCGGTATCAATGAATCGTCACCGAACTTCACGCAACTGGCGCTCGGACTGCACGACCGGTAGCAGGTTCTGAGTGGTCTTCACTGTATCGACTAGTTCTTTTCTGTAACACAGCATTCGGCAACCACGGCGCTTGGAGAAGGGGATGCGACCGCTGCATTGCACAGAATGAAATTGCCGCCATGGACTTGAGCCGGAGCAGCGGCTCCTCATCATCAATCCATCCACTCGTTCGCCTTCACCGCCAGCTGTTTATGCACTTAGAGAAGAGCAATGCAAAAAAAAGGCGCAGTTGCGCACCTGCGTGCAATCACACTGGTGATACTGCTACTCTCTTGCTCTCGCATACAGTGCGCATACAGATCAGCGCCCGCACCCTTCGGTGCCTTATGACTTCAGCAGATTGACAATGTTAGGCTCCTTCTCGTCCATTGAACTGGGATATGTAGTGTTTGCTGTGAGACGACATGAGAAGCGGGGATGTGGTGAAGAGGCGCGCGGGACCCGGGTCGCGGACTTACGACCAAACGTTTAACATATCACCTCAGCCACCCCTTAGGCACGTCCTTGTAAGGTGGAAATCCCCCCTCCCATGATATGCCTCTAAGGCCTTGCCGGGTTGGTATTTACCCGTTTTCGGGTACTTCCTGCGCCCCTCGACCCGATAGGCTGCCTGTCTCTTGGTATGCACCCATGTGTCTCTAGGAACTTCCCATGCAGCTTGCCCTGCTCTGGGTACGTACCGACCGAGTCCTGACGTATGTCCCTTGGAACGCACCCTCCCGTCGAGCGGGCCCCACGCGATTTATCGAATAGTTTCCAACCCCGCTAAAATGTCACTGGGGCGTTCGTTTCGTCACGAAGCGAATATGTCACGTGATCAGATGTTCCAAGGCGACGCGCGTGCGAGTCCCTTGCCGCACCCGTGCCGATC